CCCACCGTGGTGTAGTAGTCGGGCTGTGCTCCATACGAGCTGCGGCCGAGGATGCGCCTTCCAGAGTCGAGCTCGAGCAGCGCGGGCCTCTCCCGCCCTTCCTGGTAGGTAGAGAAGCCTTCGCGGGCGAGGTGCTGGTACGGGAGGAAGACTGACCGGTGCCGGTCGAAGGGCGGCCAGTCGACGCGCGGCACCGGCGCCTGCGACGTCCAGAGGGCCTGCTGCGGGTAGGAGAGGTCGAGCACCTGCGGGAGGGGAAGGAGGGGGGGGGGGGTACGGAGGGAGGGCTAAGGAGGGAGGGGTACGGAGGGAGGGCTAAGGAGGGAGGGGTACGGAGGGAGGGCTAAGGAGGGAGGGGTACGGAGGGAGGGCTAAGGAGGGAGGGGTACGGAGGGAGGGCTAAGGAGGGAGGGTTCGGTGCGGAGAACGACGAGTGGACTTTGACTGAGGCCGGCTGGCCGACGACCTGCAGGAGGGAAGCCTCCGCCGGAGGAGCGGCGTGCAGGGCCTTCTCCGGCCAAGCAGCCTCCTGCTGCGGTGGCTGCGACGCCGCCGCCTGCGCGCGCAGCCCCTCGGCGGACTGGGAGCAGGTCACGCTCCAGACCTCGAGGAAGGCGCCTCGGTGGCCGAGGCCGGGCGGGACGGGCAGCTCGAGCAGCACGAGCCACGAGGTCGGCGAGCGGCGCTGGAGAGACGCGTACGGCACGCCCTTCTCGACGGCGAGGCTGTACCTACCCGGGCACGTCCATGACATGTCCGGGACATGTCCGCGTTCGGTGTGCCCTTCTCGGCGAGGCGGTACGCGTCGCGGCTCGAGAAGGTGCGCCGCGACGCTCGAGTCGCCCTCCTCCCCCTCGCCAGGTGCAGGCTCGCACCTGTTCACAGCTGGAGGTGTGAAGAGACGCTGTTCACACCTCCTCCCCCTCGCGAGGTGCAAGCTCGCACGGCCGAGCGGGAGGAGGGTGAGGAGCTCGAGGAGCAGCAGCTCGTGCGCCTGCAGGAAGGCTCCGGGAGAGGGGTCTCGGAAGGGTCTCGGAAGGGTCTCGGAAGGGTCTCGGAAGGGGCTCGGAAGGGGCAGCTAGCTCGGGGGAGGAGCAGCGTGCGCCGATCCGCCCGAGCCAGCGTGCACCTCCGCCACCACGCCGCCCTGCTCCGACATGGCGCCTGTTCACAGCTAGAGGTGTGAAGAGACGCTGTTCACACCTCCGCCACCACACCGCCCTGCTCCGACATGGCGCCCACTCGCGCGCGCAGCAGCTGCGGCGGCGCAACCGCAAGCTCCGCCTCCCCGGCCGCCTCTCGGGAGCCGCCTGCCTCTGCGGCCGCCTCGCCGGGCCGCGGCAGCGGTGGGAGGAGCCATAGCATCGAGAGGCACCTGTTCACAGCTAGAGGTGTGAAGAGACGCTGTTCACAGGCAGCGGTGGGAGTAGCCACAGCATCGAGAGGCACTCGGTCAGGTCCTGCTCCGTCGGCGAGGTCTTCTCGAGCACCGCCACGCTCATCAGCCGGAGAGGGCCGCCGCACCCCGGCCCGCCGCACCTCGGCCCGCCGCCGGGCTCGCCTCCGCCGGCCCTTCCTCCGCCCTGCCTGCTCCCGCCGCCCTGCCTGCTCCCGCCGCCCTGCCTGCTCCCGCCGCCCTGCTTGCTCCCGCCGCCCTGCCTGCTCCCGCCTCGCGAGGCTTCCGGCCCGAGCCGCTCGGCCGAGTAGAGGCAGAGCGAGGCGACGACGCACTCCGTCCGCCACTGCGGCATGTTGAAGTAGGTTCCTGGAAAGGTGAGCGGTGGCAGCTGCGGCAGAGCGTCCGCCAGCCCTCCCAGCAGGGCGGAGTGGTCGAGCCGGTGCAGCAGCTGGCCAGAAGAGAGGCAGCGGACCAGCAGCGTGCCACTCCCCGAGGCGAGGCTGCCCACGCAGCCGCCGACCGCGTCCACCATCGCCGCGCTCACCACGCACAGGTCCTCGCGCCCGTTCTCCACAAAGCCTTGCGGGAGGGCGTGCGGCCGCCGCCACCGCCGCCGGCTCGCCCGCAGGTCGTAGAGCGTGAGGAAACCGCCGAACTCTCCGAGCGCGAGCCACGGGCCGTCGATGGCGAGCGAGGCGACGTAGAAGGGCGAGGCGGTGGGCGAGTGGCCCATCTCGTACGGGAGCTTGCGGTAGGTCGCCTGCCCCGCCACCCGGTTGGAGGCTGCTTGGCGGCGGTGGGCGCAGCGCACTTGCCACTCGTCGCCGCCGGGTGGGTCCACGAGCGGGTCCTGCGACGGCGCCCACCGCCGAGCGTGCTCTCCGTGCATTGTCGCAAAAACCTCGCGCCAAATCCCCGGAATGGAGGCGGCGGCACGCCACGAGGTGCACACACTGCGCACGCGGCAGAGGCCGACGTCGGTGAGGCGGCCAAAGATCTCGGCGAGGCAGCCGGCGTCGAGCACGTCAGCCGGGGAGCCCTCGTTGGGGGTGGCGGCGGTCCGCGCCATTCTCTGTGAATTCCTTAGGTCCGCCTCTCACACCTTCACCCTTGGGTTTCTTGCCGTCGTGCCTGGGCAGCTGTGTGCTGGGGCGGGTCCCCAAGGGTGAATCTCACACCCTCACGTAAACGCACAACCCCGGGCCCGAAATTGCACAGAGTCACGCAACACGGGGTCCCAGGGAAGGCGAGCAAAAACCTTATCGCGCGCGCTAGACGCCGACTCGGAGGCCGCACCGGTCAGGCGCGCAGCCGGAGAGAGAGGGAGGCGCTCAATTCACTGTCTGTGCGATGTGAGCTTCTTGTTTCTTATCAACCTATCTGTGAAGATTTGCGTCCGCCCCGCCCAACTTTTTTTTTTGCGGGTTTCTCTACCATTCTCGGATCTCGTTTGGCCGCGTTGGGTAGCGAGGATTGGTGTGACGCGATCCACGCAGGCGTGTTTTCTGACGGCCGACCGTCAGTGCACGGAGTTGCCCCTTCTCCGACTGCCCCAGCCGGCTAGTTCCTGCGCAGAGTGGGGGCCCTGCGGCTTGCACGCGCCGCGGGCCGATTGCGGGCAGGGAGGGGGAGATGGCCATGCCCCCTCCTTTGATGATGTCCCTTGGGGTGTGAACGGATGTCGGCGCTGTGAACAGCGCCGGGACCGACCCGTCCGGCGGCCCTGGGGGGGATGCCTCTGTGCGCGCGACCTTTGACACCCGGCCGCCGCTCAGCTCGCGTCCCACGATTTCCATCGGCATCGCGCCTCTTCACGACCAGTACGCTGCGGAATCGTTTGCTCCCAGAACTATTAAGAAAACAAAATACGCGAACCCCCCACCCCCCACCAATTCTCCGACGTAGCCAGCGCCCCTCTTGTGGCTTCGACGCACACGCTACTTCGGAGCCACAGAGTCCTGGACATGTCTATCAGAACTTCCTTGGGGGTGGGAGTCGCTAAACATATTCCCCGGGGCGGTCACCGCTGCCGCCCCCGGGGCGGTCGCCGCTGCCGCCCCCACAGGGCGATTTCAGCCAGTTTCATCCAGCGGCTGCCGGAAGTTGGAATATATGCTTTGAATATGAAAACGGACGACGCGGATCCGTGGGCAGACATAAACAACTCCAACTCAGGAGAGCGCATCGCGTAGTATCTGTGCCACCTCCACGGACCCAATGTTTTCGGCAATGTTCAGTGGCGTCTCACGCAACTGGCACGATGAGCGCACGGTGGGATCAGCGCCAATCGACAGCAGATATGCCACAGTGGTCGTGTGCCCAAAGTGGGCTGCCGTGTGCAGCGGCCGATGGCCTATGCAGCCTATCGCCTCGACATCTGCACCCGCCTCGACGAGGCATCGTGCCACCTCTGCTGTGGCTGCCACATGCAGAAACGAATGAGAATCGGTCGCATTCGGGATCAGGCGTGACATGTCCCCAACCACCAGGTGGCGATCTGTCCCTAATCGGCAGCCCAAAGCTGCGGCACGCTTGCACGTGTGCATCACCTGCTTGAGGTCTGGGCACCTTCCCAAGGCGAGCTGCGGTGCTGCGGCCAGGAGCGTTCCGACTTGAGGCAGCCGCCCGCCGAGGCACGCGTGCAGCATCACGAACCTCTGCTCGTTCGCTGACAGCCTATGCTGCACCAGCAGGAGGCGCAGCAGCTCGTCTGCCTGCTCGTCACGGCTGAGCGAGTAGAGCAGCTCACACCCCTCGACGGTCGTCAGGAGTGGCTTGGTGGCTCTGAGCAGCGGCATTGCAGGCTGCTCCGGCACTGGAAGAGGCTGATAGTACTGGAGCAGACGGGCGCACCGAGCGGCGGCCGGTAGATGGAGCAGCTCGACGTGCACGTCGCTGATCGTTAGGTTGGCCGCTTGCCACACGGCACTACACAGCACGGCACGCGCGGCGGCTCGCATGCCGCGATCGACTCCCTTGAGCATGCGCAGCTTTGCCTCGGGGAGCTGTGAGAGCGCGCGCAGCAACAAGTCATGCTCGCCAATCACGCCCGACAGGTGCGTGCCACCTCCAACCTCCTCAGCGTGCTCCTCCTCGGTCAGCAGAGGCTCCTGCAGCGAGTGCAGGGCCTCCACCTCGCTCAAGTCGGCCGCGCCGCCAAAGCGCTCTCGCACCCGTGCAGAACTGAGGCAAGACGAGAGCCGGCAGGCCAGCGCGTCGACGAGCAGAGCGATCACGGCATCGGGTACGGCGAGATAGTTGGCAACAACTACCAAGCGCATGAACTTGGCATCGTCGAGCGCGTCCACCTGCGGCTCGACGATACCGCGCAGCCGCAGCACAAGCGGCTGCTGCGACTGGTCAATGAGCTCGCAGCAGCGCAGCAGCAGGCCCAGAGCAGGCTCGTCAGAGTGCTCGAGGAGAGGCAACCCGACCCGTGCCGCTGCGGAGTCACCCTCATCCAGCATATGTGCCATGGTAAGGCACTGACGCACAACGCTTCGAGCAGCGTGTACGCTGCCGCCGTCGCCCAAGCAGATGGCCACGGTGCTTGACTGCCCTTGTGCATTGGGCAGCCGCATTGGTACTACGTCCTCAGCAGGACTCTCCGATGCCACCTCGGAGAGGCCCGCCTCACGCCGGACGAGCGACGCGTCCTCAAGATAGCGTTCCATCAGGAGCTCGCTGGACTCGTTGCAGCTGCGCAGCAGTCGGGAAGCCTCGGACACAGACACCTCGAGCAATTCGCTCAACCTGCTGAGCTCCGCACAGCGGTCGTCTACTGGCTCAATGTCGATGAGCTCCTCATCAGAGATCTCCTCATCCGAGGACTCCATCGCCAAGGAGCCGGAGAGCGTGCACAGCCATATAATTCTTCACACTGCTGTGAAGGAGGTATTTTCTTCTCAATAACAAGGCTGTGAACAGGTACCGAACCCATACTGTGACCTCAGAGCATATAAGCGCGTCGTCCTCCTGCATATCCCTTTACTCCCACCATCTCACTCCTCGACTCTGCGCCATCGATCCTACCTACCCTGCCCGCTGCTCCCCGCTGCCCCGCTATCACCGCCGCTCTCCACTTCCATCTGAACTTCCTCTCTCTGCTCACCACTGACTGCCTGATTGACTGACTGACTCATAGACTGACTGAGTGACTAAGTGATTGCCTTGACTCTATCCATCGCTCGAGTCTAGAAAGGCTGAGCGCTTAAAGGTGTCAAAATCGCGACACCGTGACGAGGCTCGGTCCTACGTAGCACTTGGAGCACTTGGAGTGCAGTTATTAACCTCACACCCAGGGCCGCGGAGCTGAGAAAGCGCACCCAGCGGGCCGGATGATCGGATTTGATCGGCCGCATGTACATGATCCGCGGGAGGTTGCGGGCAAGAAAAAGCCCTATCACACGGCCTATCTGCTATCACGCTTCACGGCACACGGGGGGATGCGCGTTCGCGGGGAAGGGGCCGTAAAGTAAACACGGGTCTCCGAGGGTTGGCCCCGTACCGGGTTTCCCCTTAACTGCAGGACGCCCCCTCTACTCACTAGAGATGTTTCTTTTGCGTTTTGCTCCTCTGCGCGCCGGGCCGGTGCCACATACACATATGGTCCGCTGCGCGACGCTCGTCATCGGCCCGGCCGGCGCCGGCAAGTCGACATACTGCAACCTCATGCGCACGCACTGCGAGGCGCAGCGGCGGCGCGTCCACGTCGTCAACCTCGACCCAGCAGCGGAGCACTTTCGGTACCCGGTCGCGGCCGACATCCGCGACCTCGTGCCGCTCGAGGACGTGATGAGCGAGCTGCGGCTGGGCCCGAACGGCGGGCTCATCTACGCGATGGAGTACCTCGTCGACAACATTGACTGGCTCGAGTCGGAACTCGACGACCTCGGTGCTGCCGCCCGCCTCCCGCCGTGCGCAGCTGCCGCCGCTGCCGCCGCTGCGCGCGGTTTCACTGCTCTACTGCCTGCTCCGCTGCCGCCCGCCGCTGCCGCCGCCGTCGCGCCCGCACTGCGGCTCTGCCCCGCTCTCGCCCGCTCTCGCCGCCGCTCAGCGCGGCTCGCTGCGCCTCGTCACGTCTCAGGCGGCGACGAGTACGTCCTGTTTGACTGCCCGGGCCAGGTCGAGCTCAATACCACGTCACATCACATCGCATCGCATCGCATCGCACCACCTCCCACTGTCTGGCTGCCCCTGAGGTCGAGCTCTACTCGCACGTGCCCGCGATGAGCCGCGTCGTCTCCGAGCTGCAGCGCATGGGCTTTCGGCTCGCCTCGGTCTACCTGATCGACTCGACCTTCCTGCAGGACGCGACCCGATCCTGTCGATTCAGAACTGACACGCCGTGACGGGTGACACTCTCACTCGGCTCGACCTCCCTGCAGGACGCGCCAAAGTTCGTGGCCGGGGTGCTCGCCTGCCTTTCCGCCATGACGATGCTCGAGCTGCCGCACTGCAACGTGCGGCGCTCAGCCCCGGGCATCGCGCGAGACGCCGCCCTCTTGGCGGCGAGCGCTCACGCCCCGGAGTGGCGAGCAGGTGCTCTCAAAGTGCGACTTGCTGCCCAACCGCCGCCTGCTCGACGAGTTGCTCGACGCGGACGCGGCGGTCCCGCGCCCTCGAGGCTCGACGAGTCCGGCCTCTCCTCGCCGCGAGCTCTTCACGGCTCCGGCTGTGAATAGGTGCTGCGCTCGAGGCTGGACGAGGGCGCGCGCCCTCCCCCCCCCCCCCCCCACCCCC